CACGTCAGTTGGCGGTGTGAGCCGGTGAGCTCCACTCCTCTCTCTCTGGAGCTCCTCCAGAGAGATTGAAAAGCTCATTGGCTCGCAAGCTAGGGATGAGGCCCGGACTCGTCTCGGCATCATCGAAACCGTTCAGAACGGTTGCATTCCACCCCAACCGTCCAGAACGGTTGCATTCCACCCAAACCGCTCAGAACGGTTGCATTCTACCCAAACCGCTCAGAACGGTTGCATTCCACCCAAACCGCTCAGAACGGTTGCATTTTACGAATGGATAGAAAATCGCAGAATAGAAGAATTTAATGACTTGTGACCAAATTCAAAGCAGACCAAACATTCAGTGTAAGGAAAATGAACCAGAAGTGAGCATGGAAAAGAATTTTTGAATCTTCAAGGAAAATACAGTTCATGGCATAGAAAACTTTAGCGTAGTAAATAAATTGAGGAGATTGGTCTAATTAAATTTCGATTTTTTCGAGAGGTGAAACTCTCAGGCGTTGCCACCTATCCAAAATTAGTGAACCTCAGGACTAGGCCTTTCAACAGCTCGAGTATGATCATAGCTGTTCCCCTAACAGCTAAATCCTACTCTAGGGATTAAGCCAACCTCAGAAAGCCCCTCACTACCCTCACACGACAATCCCCTGGACTGCAAAAAACATCTGGTTTGTTGAAACCTGACTAATACGTGCACCGTACATAATTTGAGTCCCGTGCACTTTTCGTGCAAAAATAGATGGCCAACCTCCGATGCGCACCGTACATAGTACGAGCCCGAACGTGAAACGCATCACTAACAAAAGACTCAAAAAAACAGAAATTTTAAGTAATTTCCTAAGAAACGAAATACTTTTAATATTCTGAAGCAATTGTAGCAACTTTTAACTTTACAAAATGACAAAAATATGAAGTGGAGAGATCAAGAAGAAACGATCAATGAGCCGAAGAGCGCAGATGAGAATACTGAATACTAAACCAGCGTCAGGACTACAATCAAACGGACTTTGCATTTTCCTGATACGTACTACTGTTTGAGGTCTTTCAACTACGTTGGCGAGCTGTTCACTCGACTTCTCTTCTCTTCAAAATCTGATGAGCTACCTGATAACAGTAGGGTGAGTTTCGCAAGCAGCTCTTATGTGTGAAATGCAACACAACATTGGCTTCAAGAAAGCTGAAACAACCTAAGTAACCAACCAACTGATACAGTGAGAGCTAGAGAAAACACAACTCTTAACTGTTTG